ATTGATTTAATGCAATACATTGAGATCAACTAGAAAATGTGTTGACATTCTCAAGACACCTGCCAGGCTTCTCCCTCTTAAGAGACACACATCCAAATCAATTAACTTCCAACCGAGAGTCATATTCTCCCTAATGGTCTAAAGATCCAGAAGCCTAACTCGTTTGCTCTCTAGTAGCTAATTGACCGGCAGCTCTCATTAAATCTCATTAAACCTCAATGCACGTTCCTTACTCTTTGATGCTGTGCATTACCAGATCACTGGCCAGTGTAAGTGTACTGTATGCCTGCGCACGATTCTGTGGGTAGGGTCCTCTGGAGAACCATGCTTGTTCGCTCAGGCGGAGCAGCTTCAATCCTGCTTCAGCTAATGAGACAAAGCAGCTGCAAAGATGCCTCAATGGTCCTGTAATGGCAGCAATTGGACGTTTAAATGCTGGCGTGTCAGCGCACGTTGTACCCTTGTGTCGGACTTTGTGCTGTTGCAATGCGCCTCAGTCGGATTGCTGTACACATGTGAAAGCACCTACCACATACTGTACTGTACGTTATTAATATTACTTTGATCAACATACAGTACGTGCGGTAAGAACTAAACAGGCAGCTGGCTGAAATCCCCAGGATATTCTTTTAATTGTGGGATTAGGATGCCAGCGGCTGTCCTCCGGTGAGCCAGGGGACTCGCAGATCAGGGAACGCTGTAAGACGCAGACGTGTGCCGCAGGGAGCGCGGCGATACAAGCAAGATCAGAGGCCAAAGCCGTAAAAGAACAGTGCGTATTTCTTTTGAATTGTAAATGAAAGTTTAAACGGTTTTCTAAGTGTGCTTGCTTCCTCACACGCTCCGCGAACAGCAGCGGGGGACGTTTACACTTTGCGGGCACTTGGTCGAGTCTTGATGTTCAGGACCCACTTCAACGCGACCCCGCGCCACTTGAGGCTAGAGGAGGAGGGCGGGCGTGGTTTTGCTTTGGTCCATATACCGAAATGGAGCCCTACCGATGCCCTCCCCCAGTCCCCCATCTCAACCTACTGCACAGAGGACGTCCGCATTCCTCCTGCACTGCGGGATGTAGCTGGGGTTAGCTGGAGACTCCTTTCTATCCGTTTCTTGCAGTTTCGTAGTCCGAACATGCAGAACGAGCCTAAAGCGCCTTCCGATTTCAATTCAAGTCATTTTTATATAGCGCCTTTCACAACAAGGTTGCCCCAACGGGCGCAATAGGATGTCAGGTGGGACGCAGAGCCCGGGACCTCAAATCAATGCCAGTGCTCACGGAAAACTTTGAGCTGTACAGGTACGGAGAGGTCATGACAGCATGTTTGCCTGGAATGTGGGAAGTCGATTAAGGAAACGTACTGTGAAACGTATTGTGTGTCATTCATTCATGTATCATTCATTCATTAATTCAATCAATTAATTCATTCAATAGAGCACTGTTCATAACGGAAACATAATTCAGAAGCAGTGGCTTGCTTTATAGCTCTTAAGACATTGTGATTGTACGAGACATTTTATGAATCCGTCACCTCCCCCCAGGCGCACCCCCAGAGTCGCGGCGCTCAGGAGAAGTCAAAGCGGCGGACAGGGAAGAGGAGCCCTGCTCTCCCCTTCCGATCGCCGGAAACGGAAAACCTCGGTACGGGGGGGTACTGCCATATATACAGTACAAGCGAACTATTTAATTGAGCGAAGCACATGTAACTTCTCACAGCGAAACCGCATTTCGGTCGTAGATTAAGCGAATTCTCTTCAATTAATTAACCAATTAACCGCAAGAGCGGCGTGAGGTCTGGAAGTTTGAACCCGGGACACGCCGCAATGAAATTCTAGCCAGTGCTCAATCGAACACCCGTATGACAAGCAGGGATAATCCAGTATCTCCCCTGGATACTCCAGTATCTCCCCTGGCTCCCGTTGGTCGAGGGGGCTCGATGCGCACAACCGCGGGCGCGTGCGGGTCAAACTACTGACGCCGGCCCGCGCGTCACTACTGCTCTATGTCCAATTGTACAGGTTACCTCGGTAACAGACTCGCCCACACTTAAAAAGACTCGGATAGTTAATGCGGTGCAATACGGTTCGTAGCATTTTAGTAGCCAGAAAACGTTTTAAGTGATCGTGACTGATATACAATAATAATATACGTCCGCCAATTCATCCATCCATTTTCCAGCCGTTTCATACACTGTAGGTTTGCGGGTGGAGCCGGAGCCTATCTCGGCAAGCAGCGAGCGCAAGGCAGGGTACACCCCGGACGGGATGCCAGTCCATCGCAGGGCACTGACAGACACAGACCCTCACACGGACACACCTGGGCCAGAAGCCAATTCACCCACCAATATGTCTTTGGGCTGTGGGAGAAAACCGTAGCAACCGGACGAATCCCACGCAAAACACGAGGGAGAACATACAAACTCCACGCACAATTCCAGTGGCGGTGTGAACCCCGAACCCCAGCAACGCTAATCGCTGCGCCACCGTGCCGCCCCGAATATGCACCCTAAATAAATATGTCAGCTCTCCTAAGATATATTTCTCAATTAGCCCTTGCAGCTCGGACTCCTCCACAATTAAACACTGACGTGAAGTTACAAGATGCCTTTCTAAAATAAGTACAGCATCTGAAACGACACAAACCTGAAGTCTTGAGAGGCAGCTAACATTTCACCACCTTCCTGGACCACAACAGACGTAAACATGTTTTTGTTACACTGGGTAACAGCTGGAAAGCCGCCTGTGCAAAAAATTTATCGCACCTTCATTTGATACGAATTGTTTCTGATTATCAGGACTCGCGACCCACGCTCCAGCCTGTAAAATTCTGAAAAAACTCAATGTCGCAGTCAGTCATTTCCCATCTTCTGATCGGAGGAAAATCATTCTTCAGAGTGTAATATTAACACTTTCAGTTACAGCACACTCTTCATTCAGAAAGTACTGGATGTAAATTTAAAATGGTTTATATATGAACAAACAAAAATATGAATACATTACATCCATAAATTGCAACATATATATATATAAAGCAATGGACAATATTTCTCAGTGCTTTCACGACTCTCCTTAATGTTGCCTTCTAATTGTTCAATTGCGCTTTATTCAGGTAAACTGACGCGAGTTAAAATATTGAACTCAAATTAGCCAGAAAAGTTAGGTACATCTCTTTTTGTAAATGCGTTGCTACAAATATATTTATCACACAGGATGTCCTCATACGCGTTTTCTTTATATTTCTTGTCTTCTATTTTGTGGGTTGTGTCCTGCTCAGGGACTACAGAGGTAAATGAGCTTTTTTAGCGAACTCCGGTGCATCTCAACAGCCGTGTGCTGTCCCTGTTCAATATGCTGAAAACTAAAATGACATTTTTTCTAGTATTAGGTTTAACAGCGATAGTTGTGTACTGCCTCTGCCCGTACTGCTGAGGTCTGTCGTGCTGTACGCTACCTTCATACCTTCGCAAGTTCTCCAGAGTCCAGTATGCGAGCTCAGTTCTTCCGACTTGGTTCCGTTCGGTTTATTCACCTCCAGAATGTACCAGTACTCGCTCGCTATTGCCGCTGCCAGGAAGCTGAAACTGAGCAGCCCCATTAAGCCCGCGACAACAACCGCTGCCCCGAAGTTCATCTTCATTAACGCCGGGTGGCGAGAACAACCGATCAAGGCGAACGGGACCGCGACGCCTTACGGAGTTTAATTCGGTCTCTCCGCGTCCTGGTTCACGTTCCTCCTCATTTCCACTCCGTCTCTCTCTCTCTTCCAGGAGCAGAAAAATTGTCAATGCCTTTCCTCGAATCGCCAACTGGATCAGCTGACGTGTTGTCTCTTCACTAATTACTAGCCCACTAACGACCCTTGCTGCAAAACCTTCCGTTTTAGAAATAAAACTGGTCTAATGCGAAGAATGGTATTTTCACGTTTTAGGGCTTGAAGCAATGTGTCTCGTCCAACGGTTATACACCCTCCCCAAAACAGACACCTTAAAAGGTTGTTTGTTTTTTTTACTGTGCGAAGAAACACAGATGTGCGTCTGCAGCATCCGAAACCAACAGCAAGAGAGCTTAGCACGCTCAGATCTGCGCCACTGTGCCTAACTCTCTCATCCCACACCCGGCAACCGCACTTAATCAAGAAGGAATAAGCTTCAATCAACACTTCAATAACGTTGATAATCAAATGAATTTTCCTTCCCGCACCTGAACAATCCCTGCCTGTTTACTGGTCTGCGCAAGAGACGGGTTATCCTAACAAAAAAAAAAGAGAGAAGCAAATTTCAGTCAGTGTCACAATACATAATGATAAAAACACAAATGAAAAAAATCTAATTCTGTGAGTAGAGGGCCCGTCTCTGCTTGGGAAACGCAGCCAAGTATGAATTTCAAGAACTTTCCCGGAAATCACAGATGATGGGAATAAAGAACGCTCACCTGTCCAAATCGCCATCTGTCCATTTTCTAACTGCTTAGTCCAATTCAGGGCCTGGGGGGAGCCAGAGCCTGTCCCCACAAGCAAAAGGCACCAGGCAGGGTACACCAGTCCATCACAGGGAACACACAGGCACAGACATGCACACCAGTGCCGGTTTTCCCAGAAGCCACTGATCCTACCTGTACAGTATGTCTTTGAACCGTGGGAGGAAACCAGAGCACCCAGAGGAAACCCATGCGAACTTACAAACACCAGTACCAGGGTTGAACCAATAACCACTGCGCCACCATTCTGACACCCAAGTCAAGAGCTGACAGGATGTCTAAGAGAAGGAGGGCTGTTACTCTAGATCAGGAGTTCCCCATATAATAATAATAATAACAATCCTTACACTTATAAAGCACTTTTATGGATGCTCCACTCAAAGCACTTTACAGGTAAAGGGGACTCCCCTCCACCACCACCAATGTGCATCAGCCAGAGTGCACCAGTACGCTCACCACTCACCCGCTCTCAGTGGGGAGGAGAGCAGGGTGATGAAGCCAGTTCAGAGAGGGGGATTATTAGGAGGCCATGATTGGTAAAGGCCAGGGGGAAATGTGACCAGGACACCGGGGTAACAACCTTACACTTTTCGAGAGACGCCGTGGGATTTTTAATGACCACAGAGAATCAGGACTTCGGTTTTACATCTCATCTGAAGGATGGCACATTTTTTGCAAAAGAGTGTCCCCCTCACTATATTGGGTGCACTAGAACCCACACAGTGAGTGCCCTCTACTGGCCCCACTAACACCTCTTCCAGCAGTAACCTGAGCTTTTCCAAGAGTCTCCCATCCAGGTACTGGCCAGGCTCACCCTGAGCTTCAGTGGGCTATGGGGTAAGATAGCTGAAGCCACGGATTGACCCTCAAGCACCCATCCCGCAGATACATGGCCCCTCTGGCCAGTTCCAGATCACCCAGAGGGCATCTTGTTTTTCCAGCTGGCTCATTAATTGCAATTCCTGCAGAGCGTGCTCTGGCATTTATACATTGATACTAGTGAAACAGGAAGAAGGCCAGCTGTTTCAGGGACCATGTCAGAGCAGCGTGGATCAAAACTGCTCATTCTTATTTCACATTTCCAGGCTATTCTCACATCTATTGTCACATCCTATTTCTTTTTACTCTGCCCACCCTGCTCTCATATATTTTTTGCACATTCCCTCATTCATTCACATTCAGAAGGCCAAAAGGTTGTTTTTTTTTCTTCTTTTCGACATGTACCTTAATTATAGTCATTACTGGCAAATGGCTTGAAATGCTAAGGTCTCATCAAAAGCACCACATTTTCATTTATTCCTCAAGGAAATAAAAATAGAAAAGCACTTTTAAAAATGGACACAGAACAAAAAAAAAATGGAATAAAAACGAGTGAATTTGTGAAAAATGATTGGGATAAGAATGCAAGCCCACGTAATGTATTTTTCATTTGGTTTAAAAGGGGCTGAAGTTCTGTTCATATTTCCCACCACAGAACAAATCGGAAAACACAAAAAAACACGACGCACATCAAAATAAAAAAAAAATGCCTTTATTTCAAAATAAAGCAGAGACTAATATGACTGGAGACTAATTACCCTGCTACTAGACTTCTGCATCTGGTGTAATTCAAATGTGGATAGCTAAATAAAGCATTCACAAGCATTCTGGAAAGCATGCATTTCCTCTGTAATGAAAAAGGGAAAAATCATCCAAAGAGATGACTGAGGTCTTGCAGATAACACTCATTCTCTCAGTTCCCTGAGAGAATATTTAATATCATTTTATTCTCACTTTGTCCCCTGGTAATGATATCACGACACAAACTCACTTTACCTGTACCTGCAAACCCGTTTGCTGTCCCGGAACAGGACATAGTCAAAGTGAAATGAACACACCATCCCAGAATTGTTGAGTGGATCTGTACTTACACAATATGGGAACGCGTTTGCATTCTGCACTGGTGCACCAAACAAATGGGTGCATGCATTCGCTTAATATACAGGATGACAGGGCTTTGTTACTGATGTTTCAAGGTTTGTTTGATCATGAACAGAACAGATATGGAGCAGACGCTGAGCCGTAGACTCCTTACCCAAGGTTCGAATCCCAGGTAAATACACACTAGTGCGGCATACCTGAGCAGGGCCTTTCTCCAGGATACTCCAGCAAGCCTGACTGAGTAAACAGATCCCCAAATTCACATGCTAAAATAAGAAATTGTAATCCTTGTAAGTTGCTCTGGCTATTAAATGGCTGCTAAATGTCAGCAAAATAAACTGATGTTATTAGTTTCTTCAGGGATAGTCTTATCCAGGGTGACATGCAGTAATATAAATTCAATTCAGTGAAATAAACAGAGTAACGTAGAAAAAATGTATAATCAAGTACAGAAATTGAATAAATCAGCATAAAGATGACCTACAGGAACAGGAATGTCAGGTGCCCAATAGTGGGGCCATTACAATATTTGCAATATTTTTGCTTCTAGTTATATAATTCGCTTCATTAAGAAATCTGGTAAGTAACCTGAATTTTATTCTCCAATTTTCTTTTCTGCTTGGAGTCATATACTGTATATATCACTTCCCATTCCTGCTAAGCTGCAGGGTTTACTTGAAGACACTGTGACACTGATAACATTTTTATGGCAAGAAGTGTAAAGATCGTCACCCCTGCCTCTCTGAAGGTGATGAATGGGTGTCTGGGAGACAAAAGGGGTTGGGAGTGACAACACCTGTCCAACATGTTCAGAAAGAACATGAGAAGAGTGCTCAGCTTGTAAATGTGGACTTCAAAAGAGGCTAGAAGGCTCAGTTGATGAAAAGCCTTTCTTGCAGGTGAAGGAACTACCGTGCTAGAACTTGAAAAGGATTTTTGTTTTCTGCAAGCGAGTGGCCAGGCCATCAGTGCTGGAGTTTCACAGCTCTCGGGGCCTGGGTTGGACTGTGTGGGCTGTGAGACTAGGTGTGGAGTTTGCATGTCCTCACTGCATTCACGTGGATGGGCTCCAGCGTCCTTTGACATTACAGAAGCCTGCTGGACAGATTAAACAGCGTTTCTAAACTGTCCCACGCGTGTGCCCAGCGATGGACTGGCATCCCATCCAAGGTGTCATCCTATCTTAATTCTTCGGTCTGTTGGCTCTGGTCCCAGCTTGGTGCAAGTATCGGTAGAATGAAGCTGCTCAGCGAGAGATGGATTTTCTTTAGGAAGCATACAGAGTGACCTGATACACTGAATGATATTAGTTACATTTTTGACAGTCTTTTTTAAAGTTAGGAGTGAGATACAGACTCCATCTACAGGCTGTTAGGTCATAACAGGCTGTTAGCTCATACTAACACACATGCTCGTGAGCTAATGAGCACAAGTTTCAATAGTATATAAATGTAATAATGGAAAAGCTCATTCAATTTTTGCCTCAGAATTCTTCAAATACAGAGGCTTTATCTTCCCCTAAAATGAAAAACATGCTAAATTTAGCATGAAAATTTGTGACATGAAAGTTAAAGGCGGTACCAGATTGCGGCTGCAGATTTCAGTAACCTTTTCTGACCTTTATTCACGAACAGATTCTTATTAGCACTTCAAGAAAGGACTAATCTATAAGGCTAGATTGGGACACAGAAGGATAAGTGGATCGTGAGTGTTTCTCATAAGTTTTAAAAATAATGAAATCAATTTCATGGATTGACGATGCAATTACAGCATATAGCTGGATTTAGAAGTTATATGGCAAAACGAATGAAGATGTAGACCTGTAATGAAACTAAGCAGGCATAATGAAACAGCAGCCCTTCCTAATGAATATTGATTCCAAATATGTACATACAGCAATGAAAGAATTGGAACAGTACCACATACTTTAAACAGGTTCTCAATCTATTGCCAACTGAAATTGATTTCTCTGATTTCAGAGTAAACAATACTATATAATACACTAATACACAAAAGCACGAAATTCAAAATTAGCATTGCATTGTCAGAAAGTATAATACACAAAAAGTAGACAGTCACATGAAATTGTTTTGCTAATTTAGATGACTATGTCTATAGTCTATAGCACCCATATAGTATTTTAGGTTGCAGTTTATTTCAGGGGGCATTTAGAAGGCTATATTGTATATGTAGCTCAGACCGGAAAAGACATTAAGTAACCTCTTCCCAGATTTCTAGTCAAACTAAATAGCTCTTGACCCCCAGTGCAGAATCAGGTCTTTGCCTGGACAACTTACGTCAGCATTCTGCTCCCCACCCCCCACTCTATAGGATGTGGGAAAAAAACAGGGCACTTCAACCTACAAAATTGTACAGATGAATTATCTTCTTCCCACTTGTACACTCCCCTGTTGTGTGCACAACAAAGGCAAGACAGTGCACAATTACTGCACAATTTACTGGGCAATTTCATCTCCCGATGAATACGAGTTCTGCTGTGCATGGACCAGATAGAAAAGACTTTCGAGAATAAGGGCTGATAATATAAAACTAGGTTTTTGTGGATAATATGGCACATCTTTCTGAAGCACTTTAATAAGGCCAACTAATTAGTGCTTACCAACTGATAAACTACAAAGAAAGGAGTGTGCAACACCCCAGTTCCAGGTAAAGAATGAAAGCAAAGACAAGACATTCAATGAATGAATTACTAATTTATTGGCCTGATTCTATTATCCCAAGCACGTTACATTTGCACATCTGGGTATTTTACTGGAGCAATTTGGGTGAATATCTTACTGAAAGGTACAACAACAGTGTCCAGAACCCTGATCACTGCTCCATGCTGTACATAAACCTACAAATGGGAGCTAAAAACAGAAATGGTGGAAATAGCGTAGATGGATTATCTAAGCATTAACGTAATGTCTTAAAGCTAGGCACGCCACTGAAAAAAACTGTTTGCATCCAAAACATATGGATATTAATTATTTTGTATTCAAAAAGTATATTGGATTTTGCTTAAATAGTGGCATGTGGTCCAATACAGTACTCAGATCTAAAGTAGAAGTTCCAGAGACCAATCAGGTTTAGATATTCATGATGTTATTGAAAAATGTGAATCATGCAAAAAAAGATCTTACACAGTCAAGTTTTGTAGAAAAAGCTGACTAGTCACTAGAGTAGCAAGTTGTTCCAAAAAAAATCTTTTTGCAAATGAACACAAATATGACCTTAACGTATTTTAGACTCCACTCGAAAATTTTGTAGCTGCACATAGATTCTCCTGCAAAAGGCATTGCACCTGAACTTTAATAAGACTTGTTTAAAAAAAGCTTTAATAAAAGTCATACAACTAACTTTCACTATTAACAGAAAGCCTAATATGAGAGGAAAAAAATAAAATTGCTTCTATGCAAGCAGACAGCTGAAACAAATAACGTACTAAACAAGCACCTCTTTTCTCATTATTTTCCTTGAGTACAGAAAGGTCCTTTAAAAAGCCTTGCTTACAGCAGCAGCCTTTGCCTTTTTCAGAGGATTGTTCCATTTCAAAAAATTGTTTTCCAGCAAGGGTTGAAAATAAGGTCAAGGAGTTGAAGATGCTTAATGAACAACCACACTACCCACCACTGTAGACCTTAAGAGTCTGACAATCTCCTTATCCATTTAGCATCTTCCCACTATAGACAGGCCTTATGAAGAAAAAGAATTTCCTAAATATTTACAGCAGGATTTGTCTAAAATAAACCCGCTGCAATGCTCCCAACTGTCAGTAAGACCACTAAGCTCAACCGGAGTAGGTGCAGATGGTGCCTTTTCTTACCGAGCACAACACTTTCAACAGTGATGTCCTCTTAAATGCAGTTCTGATAGTAGAGATACGATTGGAAGCATTACACTTTCATTATAAAAGGCACAGGATGAAAACACAGATTTGAATTTGGGGTAGCTAAATGAAGGACCAAAGATGCAGAGATCAAAGTGAGTTTTCTAAAAGTACTTTATTGCTGTAGTGCGTGACAGGACACACAACTATTTACAAGGCAGAAAGAAAAAACATTTGAAGTGTCTCAGAAAAATAAATATATACATACGCTTGCAAATGCTGAGCACACTGAGGGATATGAAGCACAATTAACACTTGAAGCCGTGGGCTGCGACAGCAGAGCGCTAGGCTCAGCAGTATGCCCATCACCACTGGAGACGCAAGCGCGCAGTGCCTGCAGCTGCAGCCCTCTCATCATTCTCTTCATTCTTCATCCATTGCAGATTTAACCACCTCAGCCCGTGTGTTTTTAGCCGCTCCCTCGAATTTCTCAATGATTTGACTGCATCTTTTGCTCTGTAATGGGAGAGAACATTTCTCTCAACACTGGGAGTTGAATGCACTGCACGTCTTACCACAGGCTATTGTACAAGTGTATGACCAGAGGTCTGCCAGCAATTACATTCACAGATACCACCTAAAAACGTAAAAGGCTGCAGTTAATCAGAGGATTGCAGAAATACAGCAACTTCTTAGTAATGCATTCTCTATGAAACAGTTAATTAAATCATCTGAATCAATGCTCAGACTGTAATATTCATTATTTAATACCGCACCCAAATATTCAATTATGTACTCACAGTGAGCACTAAAACTGTACTTTCGCTAAAGTTTTATGATATTGCCAAGCTTTATGCGATATCACAAAACGAGATTAAACACCCACATTTCCTCTTCTACGCCATGCTATTTAGTAAGAAACCCGATGCGAGGTTAATCAGATTGCTGAAATAAGCTCCTGTTAGCTGCCTTCTCCAGGTCCATTTGAATGTCACTTGCGTAGCCCATGTTGTGAGGTGTGCACAGGCTACAGCATGTTCAGAACAGCAACAGGCCACAGTGACATGAGGGATTACTGAATTTTAAAATACCTCAAGGGCCTCACAGCAAACCCATCACTTATACCTAAATTCTTTGCAGTTCCTAAAAATATTTGCTTTCATATTCAAATTTGATCTTTACAATGATGGACAGGGCTACATTTGCAGTTATAAAACAGCTTGCAGTTTATAACGCACCACTCAGGAATAACCTTCATCATGTTGATTACATAGTCGCCTTGCACAACATTCATTGTTTGATGGAATCAAACACTTATGAAAATGTAATGGAAATGTTTCCATCCATCTCAACTTGTAAAAATGCAATTTAAATGTATATGAAAAATGTAGATAAAAAAGTATTAGTTCCTCCACAGAACAGTACATATCAAGGCTAATGAAAACAAAAAGAGCTAACACTCGCATGAAAAAAACTAGCCGCTGAGGTAGAAATCAAAAGACAACAGCCAGGATACAAGGCTTAGAGCACACAAATGAGGGAGCGCCTCAGGAACCCAGAGCAACCCACTCGCTGGACACTTTGACGAGCACCAAATTCAGGACGCTCAGCTGATCTCCTCAGACCCTCAGTGTAGCATTCTGTTCATGCCAACAGTGTCAAGCAACAGTGAGTTTTAGAAAACTAATTAAAATGGCTCTAGGCAAAATGCCACGTAATCAATGATAGCTGTAGGTCTTTCCTTCGCAGGTGTTGCAGTATAACCAGTTGGACATTTCACTGGGAGCTTTAGCGAGCACAGGGAAGGAAACCTCAGTGGCAAAGGCCACACTCGGGCACGCAGCTGTACTCACAATATAGGACTTCTGCCTCTCTTTCTGCAGCCTGATGAACTCCTCCACTGTAAGCTCCTCCACATCCTTCTTCAGGTTAATGAAAGCACAAGACGGGGAATGGGACTTATGTTCCTTCCTGACAGAGGCATTAAACAAGTTATTAATTCCTATGTACAAAAAAAAGTCAAAGAGGATTAAATTTTTTCCTCAAACAAAACTGAAAAGGTCACAAAGCTAAGCTACACTATACCAGATGCATAAAATTAATTCTTGTGAGCAGCATCGCAAATTTCAGTTCTTGGCTGTCGCTGAACTACATTAATGGCCTGAAAATCAATTAGCGGAAGACAGCTGGCTTCATGTGGACTACAGTGTCACACTAAGAAAATCTAACATCTTTACCTAACAAAGTTATGGAAAAACAGATGTGCTACCATATTTGTGCTCCTACACAAAATATAATTCTTCGGAAGATAATCAGATGCTTTTAATTAACCTTTGCAGGCTTCTCTTAAGTTAGTAGATGCAGCTAATGCTTTTGTTTAAAAAGAATTAACTTTGTTAAAAAACTGCTGCTCACTTCTTTTTAACTCTTGCACCTCCACAGCCCTATTAAATGGTGACCCTTCTGTTCAAGTGGACCAACCCAACTCCTTATCCAGCAGCACTGCATTGTTTATCTTGTAAAAGATGGCCAAACCTAAAGGTTGGGATTAGGAAAGCATGAATACATGCTACAACACAAGAAGAAAAAGGTAACTAACCATTGACTGCTGGCAAGATGCTACTCTGACGCACAGGGATTTGAAAACGTTTTGAGTGTCAACTCCCTGAGTGACACAACGCCTCTGGTTACTCACACAGGGTCATCCTCCGGCTCCCAGCCCTCCAGCTCCTTATAACAGACGAAGCACTGAGCCACATCGGGGCTGTTGTCAGTGGGAGTGTGAAGAAATCCTGCCTTCGCCATCTACCCACGAGAAGAAAACGGCTCTCAGAAACGTTGTCAAAAAGTAAAGACGTGCCAGTTGTGGGAAATGGGATTTCAAAAGCTCACCAGGCTATATTTACAGAAGCCAAAATAAGTAAATGTCCAAGACAAAACAAATCCAACCTTGTGTACATTTACAGTCCACCATGTGTATTCATACTGTACTGAAGGAATAATCATAGACTATATGACAAGCTGCAAGACTCATTACTCTAGCTTGCGTGTGTAGCAAAGTGCGCACACATGTATATAATAAGAGATCTTTTTCCCAGGAATCCAAAACCAGCTCACATATTTGCTAGTGAAAAAAAATCCGTAGTGATATCGTTTCTGATGTGCAGATAAAAAAGTAATTGTAATAGAGTTATAAAAATCCAACAACCTCAGCTACTGTGCACAGACTCCTATACTCAATAATTATTGATACGTTTACTGTTAATATCAATACCTTCTGACAATGTCATGCTCTTAGTATCCATTAATGTAACTTTAGCTCTTAGTATCCATTAACTATAATAAAATGGAAGCGATGGCACAACATTTTCCTGAATTATAAAACACATAAAAATAAAAAAACGTGAAAATATAACCAAGCATTGAACTACAATCTGTTCGGTACGTAATCAGGCTATTCTCCTGAAAAACTGAAGTGTTACGGTTTTGGGGACGAGCAACTTGGAAAATAATGTTTTGATTCTTATCGAGTCACTGTAACATTTCAAGAGATATCGACAGATCATCGGATAAGCATACATTACGGATGAGGACCAATGAAGCCCCCGGCGGAGTCGTCTATTATTAAGCATTATAAACTGCAATGCGTCTCGCAAACTGATGATTGTGTGTTCGAGTCCCAGGTGGGCCCTGGCGTCTCAGCATTGTCGAACTCACTGGATAGTTACGTAAATCGACTGGGTTAAAATAGAGAATTTAAGGAATAACTAATCAACCGGGCGAATCCAACCATGACACAAGCATTCAGATAAAGGTACGAATCACCTCGCGTCGAACAGTTAGGTCCTGGAAAAAAAAATCTAACACACTTCAAAGCCGATTACAACCATTGTTATTATCAAGGTCGATTAAGAAAACAATCGAAGAGACATCCTTCTTTGCCCCACTGTCGAGGGTAAAAATTAAACAGGCCAAGCTGCGATTACAGAAATAGAGGATTAAATTTAGGCTTTTATAACGGGCAGATCAACTGTTAACTGATAAGAGCTTTTAAAACATTTGTAACAAATTCTTGTTAAAACTTAGACTCTTAGTCTAGGGAGTATTTTATTTTTTAAACGAATACAGGACTTACATTTTCCGGCGTGCAAACACAACCCTCTTGAAAAGGCCATCCTGAAAAAGTATCCAAACGGTTTTTATAGAAGTACATTTTAATATACTCTCCTTGCATCACATTCATATTCTAACTTTTAAAATAATAAAAAAGTATTTTAAACGTTACACTTTAATGCTTTAAAAATGTGTTTCTTCTATAATTTCTCAGTCACGCTCTTGTTTACACCGTCTTTGATATTCGTTTAAATTTCCAGCGCGCTTATCCATTGGTTAAAACGTCATTTCCGTTGACGTACCCATTCGCCTGTTGTTTTCTGGGAATTGTAGGCGGTTCGCTTACATTAATTTTTTTCACAAGTTTTCTGGCCCAAGAATCACTTTTTCCAAGAACTCCAACCCCAATAAAGATACAATCCATTGTAAATGTTTAAATTAAAAGAAACAACGTTAATATTGATGATAAAAAGTAGAACATAGGTCTAATAACATTTACATAACGAAAAGGCTCCGAATACATACATCCCTCTGAATGACTTTATAAGACAAATTCTGTTAAAATAACATTTCCCGTGTTGTTAAATTCTGGTTATGTTGGATTCCGCTGTTCCTGTATTTGATATGCTGAACAGTACCATTGTTAATTTTGAAGTTGTAGCAACTCTGAAGTACACAAAATTAATCTTTAGTTTACAATAATTTAAGGTCTGCTGCCACCAAGCGGTTCTCAGAAAGATTTGTGTGCGTCTGCGCCATCACGAAACCGCAAATTCAGAATGAGAGCTGTGATTGGACGTTAAACCGTCAATAACATTCCACCCACCCCTGCAAAGTAATTCTGTGCTCTTATTGGGTTATTTCATGCACACTGACCTTCGACCCTACGTCTTAGGCTGCGATTGGTGCGTACTCTCCGGAGCGGTAACTATGAGGAAGGAGCCGGATAGTGTGAGAATGTTGTGAATGTTTTAACAATCGCTTTACCTAGGTGGTGATGTAGATGCATGTAGTACAATGAAAAAGTATGTGAATGCTATATAATGTTGTATACGTTATTGTTAACGTAATTTCCATCGTAATTTAACACATGGGGTCTTTAATGCACGCTGTTATTGCAGGAAACAGGACGGACAGGGATAATCGTGCAAGATAAGAAGTTGAGTCACATGCGAGTTTTGATGCGGGTACTTTCATTAAGTGTCAAGTCAAGATTTATTCCATGCAGAAAAGAAAAAAAAGCGACACAACATTTCGGCTACGGAGCCTTGGACTTTGTTTTAAGTGCGCCCGGTGTTTCCCGGTGTGCGGCGATGGCAGACGGCAGGTGTACAGTGGACCACCTGGCCGGGTTCCAGCGCCCCTCGGGCTCGGCGCAGGTGCTCACCTGCGGGCCCGACCTGCTGCTGCTGCGGAACGGGAGCGAGAGAGTGTTCGCGTACAGCGGCCGTGAGGCGAGAGTGCAGGTACAATACCCGCCATGCTGGAGAAACCTCGGTGTCACACGACAGCAGATCAGGGCATGAACACAGTTCTTCGAAAGCGCGAGGAAGTTTATCTGTTGTTTTCGGTGGTTTATTTTTTTTATTTTCGGTGGGTTTCTGATGGTCCACGGTACGAGTCTGTCACGTCTCGCCTTTACGTGAGCTCTCAACGGCGCTGCACCCGTGTCCGGGAATAGCTGTTTCATCTGCTGACGGTCTCCCCCTGTCCGAACTGAAGATCGTGCCTATGGCATTATTCCAGGGACCAGGCCAGAAACTTTCTCTCCTCTTTTACTTTACGTGCAAATTGTTGAACCACACAAAACTCGAAATGTTTCTGTTCCATATGATTTTAACACTCTGGAGGGTTTGTTAAAAAAATATACAAAAATAGGGCTGCTGGGAAGCCTGACATTAGCTGAGTGGTTTTCTGTCATGTATTAAAATGGGGGAGTATATTCTATCAAAGATCTTGGAAAGGAAAAGGAAACAAAGTTTGGTGTCTTGAATAGGTTGTTAATGTCTTGGGTGGTAAATCCGTGTCTGTTTTTTCCGGCAGGCCGTCTATATTTTTGCTGGCCGTGTTACTCACCTGCTGGAGAGCCCCGACCGTCGGTGCATTTTTGCTCTGTGCCAAAACGATGGAATATATTGCACCTCGCTGCATCAGATCAGCAGGTGAGACCAGCATAAGTGCTTTAGAGTACAACTCTGTACCCAAAGAGTGGTGGAGGTCTGGAACAAGCTACCCAGCTGTGTGGTTGAAGTCAATACTCTGAAATCCTTCAGGGAAGGCTGGATGAGATCCCTGGATCAATAAGCTATTAACTTCCCAATGGGTCAGATGGTCTTCTCATTTGTTATCGCTTCTGTTTTCTTTAGACAGCAAGCTGGGATACAATTAAAGTAACAAGTGTTTTTTGTTTTCCCAACACTGAGGATTAGTATGGGGAAGCAGGCTTACCCTGAAATTCCCTGATTTATGATCAGCTTTCTAATTGATAATCTGGTTGTTTTTTTTCTCCTACATAGGGAGCCGTCTCCCACACCTACTGAAGCAGCACCTAAGAGCCCAGTCCTGGTTATGGTGCCTCCCGATGCCTGTGTGCTGAAAGACCCAGGCGCCTGCTCTTTTGCGGTGCTGGAGAATGCGCTGGTGGCAGTGGCACGCAGTGGCACGGCGTGGCGAATGGGTTTTTATGAAGTCCCGGCAGGATCCACGGGGAGCTGTAAGAAAGTGGAGGAGCTGTGCATCCCCGTTCTGTCAGCGGGGTGTTCCAGCATCTACGGGGGTAGAGACGAGGCCGTACCCCCTGTTCTGTGTTGCATATACCCTCATGGAGCAAAAGCAAAGGCCACAGAAGACAGCAGCAGCGGTCACTTGCTCTTGGAACAGGTCCTCTTCAGGCTCCTCTTCGGCGTGGATGCGGCTCTGCTGTCCTCTCCCACAATCCTGTGCGGCCTGCCGGATGGGCGTCTTTGCTGCCTGCCTCTGCGGCGACCGGGGAACCCCGAGGCCGAGGGCGGGGAGTCCCGGGTGAGAGTGCTCCGCCATCTGGGCCAGCCGATCGCCTTCATTGGAGCGTGGGGCGCCGGGGGCGACGACAGGGGATCCAGCTGCCTGCTGGTGGTTGGCAGCAGTGGCAGGGCTCTGCTGATGCTCGCTGAGGGAGAGGAGGAAGGCCGGGCTCTGGAGTTCCGAGAACGGCACCTCTCTGGCCGCGTGCAGAGCGCTTGTCTCGCCGACGGTCAACTCTTTTACAGCACGGGCTCTGACCTCCTGGCTGTGCAGCTCCGCCCCAGCCCTTCTGGGGACAGACCAGATCTCTGGATCCCATCCCTGCAACCCCCTGTCACCCTGAATGTCTGCAGCCTCATCGCACTGTCCAGACCCACAGAGACACCTGCAGGTACTGGAGGCTACATCCAGACTTTATAGTCTTGATGCAGTGCAGGTGTTAAAATATAAATGCACCTTGCAGATTTTTACAAATTCACTGTAGCTGGTAGATGATCCTTTTTGCAGTTCAAAGTGGTGAATCGTGTTTTTTTGGAAGCAGTTCCAGTGGAGCAATTAACATGTAACAAATTTTAAGAAAAGATTCCCACATTGACTGCAAATTTAGACTCTGAAGGAATCGAAGGTAAGGACAACAAGTCTCGAGGCAAAGGCAGCAAAATTGTTGATTCCCCACTTTAGTTCTTTACATGTTCAGTATGTGATCGTGCTGGTGTTTCTTTAAAGCCCGTGCAGCTGAAGAGTGTGTCTCTGTGGTGTACAGGGGCTGTGAAGCTGTTCGCTGTATCACTCAAGGGGAGGCTGCTGAGGGTGACTCTGCCTCAGAAGTCACCCAGGGCTCATGGGGCACTGTCAGCAGCACAGGTGGGCCAGAAAGTGAGGGACCTTCTTGCTGGCATTGGAAATGTCTCGGAGAGGTGAGGACAGAAAACAACATGTCATGCTGGGATTGTACCGCATATGCTTAAAAGAGGAAATGTACAGATACACAAAATGAAGTCTGTTGGCCTAATATATAAATTCTTATCTATCTATCAGAATAAGTGTCAAACTGTGTGTGAATTACATAAAACAGGATTATAACATAATGCACGTGTTTGTTTGTATTATACTTGAACAGTTTTATTCATTATTTCAGTCCATGAATGTATTGTGATCTGTGGTTTTATTATTATCTTTCTGCATCATGTATGTGTGCGAAGAAAAGTTATGACTGTTATCTTGTCTATTCATACCTTTAGGGGAGTTAAATCTCAGTGTTTTTCCACTATTTTCAATGTGTTTTATAATTGGATTTTGCCAGTGCTCTTTTCTTTCCTTACCTTTCCAGAGTTTCTTCTTTAAAAAGCTGCATTCACCTGAAGAATGACGCCCTGAGGAACCTCAACCAAGTTTTCAATATCTGCTGCTTGCTGATGCCCAATCAGAGGCATGCAGGGGGGGGTCCTTGCCCCGTGCGTCCAATCAGCTGCCGTGTCCGGGTCAAACGCAGTTGCATTCTGCAGCAAGAGACGCTGTTTCTGAGCTGCGTCCTGCAGAACTCCAGCGATTACATTCTGGAACAGGGCTGGACTCTGTGTGTACAGCTGATTTATCCCCCTTACCCTTTGACCGCGCAGGGTGAACGGCCGACCAAGACTTACTCCTTCCCGTTCGATAAATTGCATCCAGGTAAAAACCTAGAAGTGACCCTGCCACTAGCCACAGAGAGTGAGTTAGCCCTCCCTGTGACGGTCTGCTGCTCCCTCATGTACTTTCTGCAAAGCATCCTGGGAGAGGAGGAGTGCAGATGGGCCCCTATGAGCCAGCCTTCACTCTCCCAGCTGGTAAAAGACTCTGGTTACATCAGCCTGGTTTTAGACACTCAGACTGTGGACTGGTTGGACTGTCTGTGGGTCGGTGGTCCTGCCACTCACGGAAACAACACCAGGCCCAGCTCAGGTTCTGGTGTTGACCTGGTCCAGACCCTCCTGACCTCATCCCGAAAGGCCCAGCAACAGGAATGTGAGGGAGCTCCACTGAAGACACTCCCACAGCGGAGCTCGGAAGGGGGGCCTTTTGTAGCGTCCCTCAGAGTGTCCTCAGACCTGCTAAAAACTGCACTGCAACTCTCCGGTTCAGGTACTGGTTCAGTTTCTCCAGAAAGCCGCTAAGTCTAGGTAAGGGCTGTGGGACCCAGGAGCCAATGTGGGAAGCACTGGGCGTAAGGCACGACTGCACCTTGGATGAGACCAAAAGATGTAAGGCAAAAAAAACAACAAACCCACACTCAGCACCCGGGATTCGAGCCCAGAACCCCAGAGTTAAGACCTTAAATATTTTCTTTTAAATTTTAGGTTTAGTCTTTTGCTTTGTAACCATTAACATCCTTTGAGTTATATTCAGCCTCTTTTGTCATGATTAGAATTCTAATTTCAATACCAGGTGGTATCCTATTTTCTCCCAAGTGAATGCAATAGTCACATTAAAAAGAAACGTGTCTCTGATGATAAATAGGTAATAGAGATATCTTTGCCTCTGGATAACTGTTGTTTCGATTGGAAGCTCCCGAGTTGTAACATTGAGTCTGTGTTGCTGCAGGCCCCTCTGTGTCCAGCGCAGTGCTGCACTGGCTGGTGTCCTGCAGCCCTGCTGGGGAGAACATTGCGTGTGAGGACATTCCTGTGCTGTCTGCTGTCTGCCCTGGGGGGGCCTCTCTGAGGCTGCTGGCTCAGGAGGTATAGTATGTGAATGCAAAACGCGAGCTTGATTCCACCCAGGAATTCCCTTGCATTTCTTTGATCTTCACCTTAATAGGTAAACGTACTGTCGTGTGCCTTTGGTGTTTTGTTAATCTCTGGCTACTAGAGCAGCTAGCAACTAATTTAATTTATGCACTAGTTTTCTTTGCAATTGACAAACTTCTTTTTAATATCAAATTTCACTTTTTTTACCTTCGTTATTATTTGTGTACGTATTCCTAGTAAGATTTGAAAACAGACTTTCACTTCTGTTTGTTGAGACACATCTCTGCAGGTCCTCATTTTGACAGGGCATTTTCTGTCGTTCTTCTGCTTGCGTTACGCTTATATTGTGTTTCCATAAGGTGACTTGCATGATCCCCTGCGCCCCCTGTTGTATAGAGCAATCAATCTCCTGCGTCTTTTGTGAGCTCTGGAAAAATATTCCATCTTGCAGGTAACCGCGAGCGACTTGTGGGCTGATGGGCCGATCACAGCTGTGGAGATCCGGATTGAGAGCTCCTCATTGGCTGAATTGTGCGGGCTGCATTTCGCCGTGTTACGGCGTCTCCAGGTGAAGAACCTGTGCACTTTCCTGTAATTTCAGTCTGGTTCTTTAGAGGCCAGAGCCCCATAAATATAGCAGTTCAAGCACTCGTGCCCTTATGTCCTCCTACCAGATTGTAAGTGACTCAGCCTCGTGGGTATAACTCCTGTTCTTTTCGTTGGAGGATGAACCATGTAGACATGTTTCTCTTACTCCCACCTGTTTGAGACGTGCATCGTTTTCACAGGGCTGGTACGGCTTGCAGGAGCTGTGTATCTTTTGCTGATGGTGCTACAGGCACCTGGCAAGTCACAGTGGTCAACTGTGTGCTAGAAAGATTGGTTCATTAATTCCAGCTGTACTCCTGCGGAGCTCAGCCAGTCGTGTGCTGCCACTTGCGGCAGTCAAGTCACAATCAGCTGATAACACAGACCAAACATAAACCAGCGGCACCAGGACTCTAGGGCTCAACCTGTCCTTTGAGCGTGCATTTTTTTGTGCTATTTCCTCTGGAGTGACAAGATTGTAATTCCAGGTACTGTTTCTGCGTTAACTGTTTCACCACCAAGCTAACCCACATATCTGGGCTGTGCTCTGACATTGCTGCACCTCTCTTTTCCTGATGGCATCAGGCTCTGCTCAAGGAGGGGGTCCCTGAGGCTGGAGCTGCAAGGCGGTTAAAAGGACAGAGCTTTGTACAGCTCTTACAGCACACGGAGGTGAGTGAGACCTGCTGTGTACATACTTCCCCTGTCTTCAGGGGTTAGGTTAGGTCTTTCAGGTCCACTAGAGGGATGTCTGAATTGGCAGGTTGCACCTGAGAGCTATGCTTTTGTGTACCTCTCCAAAGCACCTCCCCTCAAGACTTTCTTGCTAAGAATATGAAACCTGCCTAATGAAATCACAACTGTTGGCACTCTCAGAAGGGTACAGGATGTGTCCTCAGGCCTGTTTGATAGCACCAGTCATTTCTGTGAATGATTAGTCAGAATGAATTGGACAGGCTGTCAGCACACTCGGGGACGTTAATAGCTGTGGTGCTGCTCCCTGAATAACAGCTGTTGTGTGAATGTAATTCATTGATGTTTAGGGTGCAAATCAGCCTGTTCTCACATCCAAAGGCATTGACATGGTGCTGTCTGATTGCTGCAGACTTTATCGAAGGCTGTCCAGGAGGCTCGAGGACACATTGCCCTGGGACTGGGGATGTCAAGTAGGATCACTGAGAAACTGCTCCACACCTATGGGCAGCTGAGGGACAGCCCGTTCCTGATCCTTTGAGGGTACAACCTGGGGGCTCCAGGTGTCAGTCTGCCCCTCGCCCATGTCCTGCGAGTGGACAGTGTGGGAAAGAGAAGACTCATCCTGACCCACCTGACGGGACCTCCCTCCACGCTCTGGACTAGCACCGCACCAGCCAGCTCCTCTCCTGTTAGTGTAAAGTGAAAGTTTTAATCCCAACCCTTCGTATCTCAGGGGCCTAATGTCCTCCAGCTGCCCAGTGAACAAGAGATAACTAGGCCCCTTTGAAGGGGGTGAGTCCAGGGCTTGGCAGCAGAAACCAAAAGATCCTGACTTCTAATTGGTTTGACTATTAGCTCCTCATTTCGGTGCCAAGAGAATCGGATGCATCCGAATAAAGTCCTCAGCCGAAAAAGCCTGCAGGTAATGTTTAAAATTAGGCATAGCCAGCCCTTTACTAGCTTAGGGGATTGTAAAGTTGCCAGCCAGATTCCTGGCCTCTTTCCCATCCCCATGAAACTAATCCTGATGGAATTGATTTGTTCTAAGTGTTGCTGCGGAGAGGTGACTGGGAGTTTCTTCCTCTTAACTTCTGGGGTTTTCTATTAGGAGAATCCAGGGTGTTGGTGCTTTGCCCTGGACACCTGAGCTGTGGGAATGATCCCTGTGTGGGGGCCGAACAGGCTGCTCTTGAAACAGGCGCTGTAGTCTATACTGCACCTGTTTTGCATGAGGTTAGTTGAGCAGCCATGGAGCTGCTGAAACCCGTGCCCCTGTCTCATGTGTGACTGTGACATTATCTCCCCCTCCTCTCCGTCCCTGAAAACACTCTCCTGCTGCAGGAGGGCACTGACTACAGCCCTCCACACCTCGACAACAACAAAGAGATGCGCCAGACTGCATTTGGCTTCCGTGCTTTGAGTTCTCCCAGACTGACGTTTTTTTTTTCCCTCTGTTTTCAGCACATCGAGAAGCCAGATCATTTAAAAATAAAGTTTCCACTTTTGCCTTTGAAAACTGAACTAAGATGTAAACTGTCTCTTGGTGGTAACAGCAGCATGAACCTAGCAAAGGGCAATAAGATCAATAAATTTTTTGGTGTCTAATAGATAAAACTACAGTTAACTTAGCAAATGAAAAGCTGACACATTGCAGTGATGATAAAAACTAAATATTAGTAGTAATGGTCTTTTTCAGTTCAGGTACACAATGTATGTTGATGTTGGATATACAAACCTTTACTTTTTTAACAGTTTCCCCCATTTTTGGCTTAATCCTGATAATTTTCACTGAAAAGCCGTATATGATGTATGTGAGTATTGTTAAACGGTCTCGACTTTGCATTCTAAAATGATTTGGTTGAGACTTTATAGTGAGTGTCCATCAACAAAAGTAGTGGTTTAGCAGTGTCTTTCTAATGATTTCATTCATTGGAGGCACAGAATATTATGTCCTCAGCAGAGGGCAGTAGAACCTAGTCCTGAAGCTGACATCATCGGCTTTTTTGAAACATGCTCCATGTTATCATTTTGTCGTGTAATGTGTATTGGGAATTTAGACTCACATGCACAGTCAAATTGTCTGGCTCCAGGAGTGAAAAATCAAAGATGTCCAATACAGGCATGTCGGGTTTATGGGTTAAAACCACAGTGTTACCCCAGGATAACTTTAGTATAATCTCAAAAGTGGTTGCATTAAACCTTAAGTGGATAGCTGGGGTACGTTTGGTCTCCAAGGTAATGTCGGTATGACCCTGACAAGGTAATTGTGATTATGACCCTGAGCCTCTTCCTCCTGTCTTTCATATCTTCAAGCTACTTGTCTTTCAGATCATACCGCATACCGTGTCTTGCTTTTTTGCATTCATTTTACTTCATCATGCTGTCAGACTTCATAATCGCCCCCAACTTCCCTCTCAAGGGTTAAGCCGCAAGAGCCGATGTGTTCTGTAAGTGCTCTGTCTGGTTTGATTGTAGTGTGCATGGTTGCTTCCCAGACCGTCTGTCAATTTGAGTGTGGCTGCTGGGTGCCTCTGGACCTGCAGATAAACCCCTCTTAGCTTTTCAGGTATCTTCAGGCAGTGTGCTGAGTGCTGTGTATTCTGATCCATGAATTATGTGGGTTTGCGTACAATCAAACCATTTTACACGCTCTTCTACATTACCCAGAGTCCTTCGTTTCAGGGACCGGGAAATATTGCAGATAAAACTTTGATGAAAATGGTAGCTTCTCCAGGACATACACGCCTCTTTGTTATAAAGTGGGACATGGTAGCATGTAATTCCTTCAAAAACAATTGTGCATTAGTATCTAGGCCATTTAATACATTCTGTTTTTCTCCTGGAAGGCGACATTTTTGAATAATGAAAATGATTATAATAAGTGCAGGAATGGCTCTGTGAAATGCAGGGGTGTAACCATTAACCCAGGCATTTCCAAGAGAGCAGGAGGGAGAGACACTCATCCCTATCCTGTGTCCTCCCTCCCAGAGCTAAATTCTTGCCTTGTTATCAGCAATTGCCCTCTTTCAATCCTTTGGTGCTCTAACATTACCTATGCTTTAGTTCTATAAAGAAAGAGTGCTGTGTCACAAATTGCTCAGTGTTTTCATTAACAGCTTGGGAGTTTAACTTTCTCAGTTGTGTTTTGCTGATTTTCTGCAAGATTTTTAATGAAAAAAAAAATTCTAAGTGAGTAGGGCTATGTGAGACAAATGGCTTTGTACTACTATCCTCTGAGCAAAACCTTCTCTCACATGCACTTGATCACTTGCTTTTGATTTTCCCCTTTGTGTCCGTTCGCTCTTTTATCCTGTGTCATCAATAAGAGGGATCAAAGTTTCTTTTTCTCTTTGCCATTTCTCCTTGTTCTCTCTCTGGTCTGCCATTACATGCAGAAAAAAAATGAGGCCACTATTTTTTATTCTTTCTGACAATTCACCTTGTTTGTCCACTACATCCCTGGCCTTGCCAGTTATTTGTTTTACACCTTCCTAGTATGGACTTCCCACGTGTTTTAGATTGGACTTTCTGGCACCGAGTCCTGTACGGCAGGAGGGGAACTGTGACTGGGAGAGGATCCCCCTCTCTGAGCTCTTCCTTGTTGGTCACACTACAGACTCCGCAGTGCCTGGCGGGAGAGGAAGCACCGAGTGGAGGGGTGCCAGGACACCACCGTACCCATGCGAAAACCATGCAGGTTGCAAATGTCAGTGTGTTCCCAAATGCTAAGAGGACCTGCTGTCTCTGACCCCCACTCTGTCATACCCTGGGCCTGTCTACTACAGAGCTCTCTCTGGTGCACTTAAGCGTGAGTCCGAGCAGTCACAGTCGGCTAGTAACATTTCCCAGGTTCAAACCAGCGCTGCCTGGGCGACAGGCTGCAAGCCTCAGACTGACTAAACCCCTCTGCCTCTTTGCAACTTTTTCTTTAGCTCGCCAGCTTCTGTAGTCCTGAGGTGAACCTCTGACTAGACTAACCGGAATCACTCTCCTCCTTTCTTCAGCCTGACCTGCCCCTCCTTTGTTTTTTTTGGTGAACCACGGTTTACATTTCTCAAACACGGGAGCCGTCCGACGCTGCTGGACCGCGACGAGGTCAGTTTTAGTTCGCCCTGTGCCGGCTGCTGTGGCACGCGTGTGGTGCAGGTGGATACGAGCTCCCTGGACGGAGTGTGGGCTGCGCTTCGCTCCAGCCAGCCGGTAAAGAACCGTTCGCATGAGCTAATTCTTCCTGACATCGACCGTCGGCTCCTTTATTTATAGCGGTAGAGAATTATCTGAGATCCCAGAGAGCTGAGGGTCAGTTAAAGGACTTGAGTCCTGTGCTGTTGTTGATATTATTATGTAGAACAGCAGTGGCAAAAAGTACAAAACACTTTATCACATCACCATATAGGCATGCATTTCCTCTAAATTTCCCTCACGGGATCAATAAAGTATCTAAAACTCAGAACCAGCTGGAGGAATTAAATAGAAAATGTATAATACTGAGTATTTAATAACATGCTAAAGCTTCTGCAGCACTCCCTCAGAAGCAATGGATCGCATTCATGGCATCGGGTAGGCAGGATATTGGGGTCTGAGTCAGGTTATAGTTTGCTTTAGGACTGATTTAGTTCTAGGAACATTGCCAAGGGCCAATAAACACAATGGCATCATCATAACCACTTAGAAAGCTTGTGGCTCATTATTGCAAGCGACACACTTAGAGCTAAGAACATAAGATTATATTGGTTATAAATGAGAGGAGCCCTTCAGCCCATCCAGACCATTTGGTAGTTAGTAGCTAATTGATCCAAGAATCTCATCTGTCTGTTTTCTTGAAAGAAGCCATGGTCTAAATGAGAGCAGCTCCCCATTCTGAGGAAATAATGCATGAGATTACTAACAGCCCTGGTGTATCGAGAGTCGATCTGAAGTGTATGGGGTTTCAGTGGGGTGAGGCGATGCCTCTGCAGGCTGTTTGTGCTGATTTGCAGAACACATTGGGTTAAGCAGCGATATTTAATCCACAAGTCATGCCAATGAGTACTCTTTTTTTCTTGGAGGTGATTTGGAATTCTGGTGACAGAATTGATCCAGTTTAATAATCTTGCTATTCCATGCAAGTGGCAGGTGCTGATTGCACGATTACTGTTCTTGTTAAAAAAAATATCAGAAAAGGGAGTGTTATTTTTTCGAGCTTTGTTCAAGCAGTGCATTTGCCTTTTGCGATACTTGAAGCCGGGTCCTCAGAGACCTCTAGGTAATTTGTGTCTCTGCGTGATTCCACAGGACCTCCGCAGCGCTGAGGTCTGAGGCTGGCCTGCAAAGGGTGTGCTTTTTTCAGCCCTTGAAGGAAATTCTGAAGCGACAGCCCAGAAATGATAGAAATGACAGTTGCTGGGTCTCACACAGAGAGAGTGTATAACTCCTTCCTGCCTGGGCAGGTTTGGGGGTAAAGATGTAGGATTCAAGAGCTTTTTCCTGGAGGTCTTGTGGAGGAACCCTAGAGTTATGTACTGTTACAGCTTTCTTTGTGTGTTATTTTAACACCAGCGGCAAAAATATTAAAATATGAAATACTGGGTGAGAGCTGTTCAGGTTAGTTGTATGCACTGCTACTTGAATATCTGTTTCCATTTAGACAAGGTCATCAAGCCTTCAGAGTAAAAATGCTTGTGCAATTTAGGCCAGAATAAAGAACTAGAATTTCCAACAGGTTTACATTGCATCATTATGTAGGCAATACATTATAGTGCAATATAGTAATTAGTGAGCGCTATAATAATATCTTAAGATAGAGCTGCAGACAGAAGCTCAGGTAAGCTCCTCGTCCCTTAAGAGCTGTGCATCCTTGCGCTGCCCTGTAGTAACTCCTGTTTGTGCTGCTAAGAACACTGGGCTTTTCCATAAACACCCTCAGACCAGTGACGTTCACACCTGACCTCTTTGAATGGAAGCCTCCCTTGCAGCATTCCCTTTTTAAAAAAAAATCAGAACAGATGTTTCTTTTCCAGCTGGCAGATGATACAGTAGGTGCTGGTGTGAAAGGTGTGACTGGGAAAGGTGTTGTGTCAACCCTGATTGATGGATGGATACAAAACAAAAATGCCAGCCGGAGATACGGGAGAAAAGCTGATTTTTATTATCACTGTGAAATCATCCGAGGAATAAACCAAACCCCCCCCAAAAAGATCCTTTCCACTATTTTTCTTTCCTGACACGGCATGCCAGACCTCCTCACAGATAATCTAAAGGCTAACGAGCTCTGTTTCTCATTACATTAAACTGCGGGTTGATAGGTGTTGGATCTGGTGTTTAAAGTAACTTTATAGTCCTCCTATGACTGGCTCCATTGAGACACTACTCTCGGCTCTGATTGCGAGTCCGTGATGAGTCTATGGTATCAGCACTGCCTGTAACTTCATACTGTAAAGTGGCGCTGGGAAAAGGCTCAGCTAGGATCGGCTGGGCAAACACCCTGAGGAGGAGGAGGATTATTTAAGGGGCTCTGCTGAACGGCAGGGTCTCGACTGCGGTCCCCCAGTTCGGAGAGCGAGGAGTGGGGCGCGCTTTGAGTCATCTGACGTGAGGGTGCTGCAGTGAATTCTGGGAACCGACTGATTGAACTACTGCTTCTGAATTTGTTTCTGCGCCTGCCTCTCTGTGGCATCTCTTGCCTTGCTATCCCCCGAAATGTCCTAGTGAGAGGTTTGCTTCTACAGGGAAGAGTTGGCTGAGGGTTTTAAAGGGATTTCTTCTTCGAGCTTTTGGCTGGGGGGGTTGGGGTGGCTCCCACTACTGTCAACAAGAGTTGAGTCTTCGTTACGAAGTGACAACACACTGGCAGAGGAATGAAACCTTTTGGACTGTGGAAGGGGTGGGAGTGTTGGGTTCTCTAGCGAATCGGTACTTGTGCAAGCAGCAGTATTTCTTTTGCAGTGCTTTGGAAGGGAGGTCCTGACCAGAACATCATTCAGAAAGTCAGCTTTCGCTTTGATCAACCAGGCACCAGAAGGTGTTCTCCAGTCCCACTCGCTTGTGAACCTTGCCCTGAGAGTGTTTTGCACCTCTCTAGACGTAGATTCGGAAGTAGCAGGTTAAGCATGAAATTACCATTAGCTTTCTGGTATTTTCAGATGTACATAATGTGGAAGCGAACGACTGTGAAAAAGTAACAGTGATATTGAACGATCCATAGCTCTCCTTGATTCCCCCAAATCCTAAACGCAATCCTATCTGACTGGGGTCCTCGCTGCTACACGTGTGTGCGCTTTTCTGCCGCCAGCCTGGGATTCCTTGCATGTGCTGCTGGTGTGGGGCCTTTCTCCCCCCGTCCACTAGGGGTCAGTACTCCCAGAGAGAGGAGCTGTCCACACAGTCGGTGTCGGCCTTCAGGGTGCCGCCCTGGTCCCCTCGGAGGTACTTGCCGTTCTTGCCCTTGATGGCCACGCGCCCGTGCTCCAGGAACTCGAAGAAGAAGTCCTCGGGCACCTCCCCGTCCGAGCACACCAGGCCGGAGCTGGAGATGTACCAGAACTTCCCCCCCGAGCCTGCATGGGGAGGAGAGAGGGGAGTCACAGGTGAGCCGACCCCTCCTCGTCAGTCCTCGCCGAAGAGGGACAGCAGCCCCATCGCAGACACCTCCAGTGTGCTTGTCCCGATCAAGAAGACGTAAAGGGGAGCTGCAGCGCTATTTTTATATTTCTGGGTCAGAAAGAATCAGCTCTGACGAGTGCGTTTCAAACCACGATGAAAGTAACATGTACACGGTAACGCGTTAAACCTTGCATCACAAAATAGTTTCCAGGCGTGCACAGTGCCATGTTCAGCGATTCCGAACGAGGTAACAAAACATCCAGAGACACGGACTTATTACATTATATAAAGCAGGCTTGTGAATACATCTCTTTCAATCCAGTAGAAATTTGCTCTCGACTTGGGAGTCGACTTGCAATCTCAAACAACATGGACACTTGCAGCACTTTCAAAAAGTTCACAATTTTGTGCTTAATTCCAAATGTGAAATTGTTTTCTATACTGTCACTGAATTTATTTTGCTACCAAGATTTAATAACCGGTCTGAGAAATTGGGACTGCATTTCCCCTTTAAGAACAAGAAAAAAATATTCTTGCACTTGTATAGCACTTTTAGAGGTAATGGGGACTCCCCTGCACCACCACCAATGTGCAGCCCCACCTGGATGATGCGACGGCAGCCATTGTGCACCAGTACGCTCACCACACACCAGCTCTCAGTGGGGAGGAGAGCAGAGTGATGAAGCCAGTTCATAGATGGGGGTTATTAGGAGGCCATGATTGGTAAAGCCCAGGGTGAAATATGGCCAGGACACCCTGAAACACCCTGGGATTTTTAATGACTACAGAGAGTCAGGACCTCAGTTTAATGTCTCATCTGAAGGACAGATGAAGAAAAAACAAAAAGGCAAATGTCAAAAGCAGGCCATTCAGCCCATCAGTGCTCATCATTTTCCAGCACACTAAAAGTTCATCATACCATCAGGCCTTAACTTGAAAGATCCCAGAATCTCTGCATCCACAACATACCCTGGTAATCCAGTTTCCCTTCACTGAGCACTTCAGCCATTCAGTATCTTAATTCCTGGAAAGAGTCATGGCAACCCAGAGCCTATCCCAGGATAATAGAGCAAATATTGGGATCGAGAGTTCAAAACCATTCTGTCAGTGGACAGGACACCAGCCCATTGCTGGGGGCATCTGCCTTTTCTTGTATTGGTTCAAATTGTGCTTTCTACAGGTTCAAGGTAAATGACTGCTTGCCAAACTTAATTTGAATGTAAGAGGAAAGTAAGCCAGCTTTATTAGTTGCCTTTAAAGTAATGACAAGATCACCGAAGTTTCCTTTCAGACATTGTAAACTAAAATTGGTACTGGATTGCGTTCCTTTTACCTCTCCAAGAAAAATAACTAATTTTGGAGAGTTTGGGCTGCTGTTCTCTGGAATGCTTCCTTACATAGTTTTTTTTTGTCTGTGTTTGACTTTCCTTTCTGTACACATGCAGAAAAAAATTGATGTGTCAATCGCAGGCCAAAAGTCAGTTACAGTGATTAAAAACAGCCTTATTTTTTTAAACAGGGCTGTGACGGCCAAACAGATTAATGAGAATCTACACCCTTTCATACTATTGCAATGTAAAAAGAGCCAATATTGATGAAGGGAATATCTGAGAAAGTTCCATGAAGCATGAGTCATTTACTCATATGACATCCTACATTGCAACAGGTTTTGTTTTTCTGAACAAACTACTACCTAAACTATACCAGCCCTGTGAATCGCCTGACAGGTCTGTTCCAGAGATAGCGTCAGACACGTGAAATCTTATCTTAAAGCTAGTGTGTCAGCTGTGATGTTGTGATATACTGAAAGAATCATAGGACCATAGTCCAGGGCTTAGGTCAAGCCTCATTGTCACCAGCATTAATGTTTGGGTATAAGCTCCTACAAAGTGCTTGTTCTTTATCCTAGTGTCACTGAAGACCATTGGTACTGGATGGTTGTTTGCAAGGTACACAGTCATGTCATCATGTCTGTAGTGCAGTATGGCCTGGGTGTTTGTGCTGCTTGTTGGGTGGTCGTGTGGCAGTTACACAAGAGACACTTCTTTACCCAAAGAGTTGTGGGAGTATGGAACAAGCTACCCAGCCCTGTTGCTGAAGCTGATACCATGGCTTCATTCCAGAAGTGGATGAATAAGATCCTCAGGCCAACGACCTACTAACTGCCAATTGGGCTGGATGGGCAGGACCTCCTCCTCTTGCTTGCAGCCTGTGTCAGCTTTCTAATGTACCTTTGATCTGGTAGGCACCGTCGCTGAAGAGTAGCGTGAAGATGTCGTAGACGGAGCGGTTGGCATCCAAGGTGTTGGAGCTCTTGTGGTGGCACACGAAGCCGTTCTCCCCGCGCAGGATCAGGATCGGCCGGTTGATCAGCTTCAGCAGGAGCTCCTCATCCTCACCTGAGAGCAGAACGACAGAGCATGCCAGCGCTGAGCTGCCGGAGGCTCTGAAGTGGGGTGTGTGCATGGGCACAGGTGTGTGTTTTCTGCCTTAGCTGACGGCGGGGATCGTGGATCGTTAGGGGAGCCATACGAATAGCGAAGGAATAGTGCGGAATCCGCACGTCCGCAGCTGCAGGACACTCACCCACGGAGTCGCTGACCGCCGCCAGCTGGCCGTTCTTCTTGGTGCAGACGTACTTGCCGTTGCCGGCCCTGAGCGCCACCCTGCGCCCCCGCCACTCGATATCGAACATGGTGTTGGCAGCTCTGCCAGGGAGAGCAGACAAGCAGAGATGTTAACCTGTGTGTGAGTGTGTGTGTGTGTGTGTGTGTGCGATTTCATGCGTGTGTGGGAGCGAGGGTGCGATGAGTGTGTTGCAAGTGAGTGTGCGAATGAGATTTTGTGTGTCCGAGCGAGTGTGTGAGTGTACAAATGAGATTTTGGGTGTTCGAGCAAGTGTGTGAATGAGATTTTGTGTGTGCGAGCGTGTGTGTAAATGAGATTTTGTGTGTGTGTGTGCAAATGAGATTTTGTGTGTGCGAGCGATTGTGCAAGTGAGTATGTTGCAAGTGAGTGTGTAAATGAGATTTTGTGTGTGCGAGTGTGTGTGCAAATGAGATTTTGTGTGCGCGAGCGATTGTGCAAGTGAGTGTGTTGCAACTGAGTGTGTAAATGAGATTTTGTGTGTGCGAGCGAGTATGTGAGCAAGTGTGCAAATACGATTTTGTGTGTGCGAGCGAGTGTGCGAATGAGATTTTGTGTGAAAGTCAGTGTACGAATGAGATTTTGTGTGAGTGCACTGTATGTGTGCAATGCGTTTGTGCAAGTGAGAGTGCGAGTGGGTCTGTGCGAGTGTGTGCAGGAGAGATTTTGTGTGAGTGCGAGAGAGTGTATGTGTGAGTGTGTGCGAATGTGTGAGAGTGTCGAGGGATCAGTTGGAAAAGGATGTGCTTATGGTACAGTATGTAGTCAGGATTTCAAACCAAACGCAGGGGAAATGCCAAAGCCTTTCATTTCATCTCAGAAGCATGTACTCAGTAAAGTGCAGAAATTAGAACAACATTGCTAAAATACCTTACTGCTAAGAAAGATCATTCCAGCTTTTGAGCATCTAGTTTCACTGTTTTGATTTTAAAGGGCATATTTCCATGTTTTGAATTAAAAAAAATAATTTAAAATTCGATTTTAAATAAATTTCCTGACCTGTCATGACTAGGAATGTTAGCTTATAGGAAGCCCTGTAATTGGGAAAATCGGTCTACTCTCTTGAGGAAAAATGTAGATTTGTAGTTCAATGTTTTGCTTTGTATTCCGATTACTTGTGTGTGGAGGAAGGAACTGTATGCGGTCATGAGGTTATTTGGGTCTGTAAAGAATCAGTTCCTCTGTTCACTTTGCGCTATTCAAAACTAAACAGGCAGGCAACGCATATTGTTAAGGAATTAGAGGGGGCTGCTCAGAAGAGTGTTTGATATCTGTAGAAAATGCTGATGAACGTGCACTAATAAACCCACTTTCAAGGACTAGTGGCTCTCCCAATCAGTTCCTCCTATTGGGCATTCTGGACTTTGTGAGGTATGGGTGTCTGGGTGAGAGGTAAAGCAGTGCACACTTAACAAGGGAAGGAGAGGGGATGTAGAGGGGTACAGAGTGGCTCCTCACATTTCGGTCGCTGTGGACTGGACGCCCCCATGAGAGACCAGTGTCCAGTAGGTGCCCCCGTTGGTTCTGAACATGCATTTCTTAGTCTCCTTGTCAACCTCCATCTGGAAAGTCTCCTGGTCAGTCTCGTCATCCTGATTGGCTGAGATGCTCACACCTAGAGATGTTGGAAAACAGGACAGGTGAAGCTCATCTTCGCTTTTGCTGCTGAGTCAGAGCGTAGCTGGAGAGACCAACAAGGGGACCACAGCCCTTTCATCAGCTTTGCTCAGCACTGTGGTAAAAAAGTGCAGTTTCCTAGTTTTTCACCAGTTTTTTAATGCATTGCCATACTCTATAAACTGCTTTTCTGTTTTCCTTCTTTCACAATAAGTAAGCCTTTCACCAAGATTTAATCTTGCCAATTCTACCAGGAAATTAATGTGGGGGAGGTATTTTGATGTTACAACCATCTGATGCCAAATTAGTGGTGCGACATTTATTCCTCCCCCCCCAGCCACCTTCCTGTGCCGTGGCTCTGGCTCTTATCCCGTGACCTTGGGACTGCTGTGCCCTTGGAAAGCTGTGGTTTAGTCTTCCTGTCCACTGCACAGCTCATCACAGCAGGACAGTCCTCATCTCCTGCCAGTACGGGCATTGACACACCTCCTGCACAACCTCCCTGCCCACACACACATGAACACGGACGCACACTGTGAGCCCTCAGACACCAGCTACAGTTCTGTCTTGTTTGTTTTTCGGAGCTTTATTGATCAAACCAGCATTCGCAGCATTATATTTTCGGAAATGAAGAAGCAGGGAAACAAGCCTCCCGTTTCAACTTACAGTGACCTAAAACAAGCCAAGTGTGGATTAATGTTTCACCTATTTCTGAACGAAATGTGAGACAAAAAAATCATTTTACTGAATATGCAGCAATATGCAGGGAACACACAGGAGATTCGCAATGAGATTTATCGAATTAAACCACACTGTTCTGAGAAGCCTAGTATTAAGAGTGCGGTGAAGACAATAATTTTAGAGAACAAAGGGAGTATTGCTATGTTTTTTTTTTTCTTTTGACTGCTCTTTAATCTACTGTGTCCTCATGAATCTGTAATGAATTTCAAGCAAAACAAAAGTTATTCACGCACCCTAAAAATGTAGGGGCCGCTCACATCTTTGCTTAGGTGGGGAATAATGTCACATTCAAAACGTTTGTTTGTTCCTCTGCTTGAAGTCACGTTGAAATTAGTTTTCACTTTCTTACACTTTCAATTGCATCAAAAGGAAAACCAAACATTTATTTGGACGGAGAGCAATGATCAGGTTTCAGATATCATTACCAGAAGGCTGTATTTTGTAGGCTGTTCAAATCCCAGGTGAGACACCGCTGTTGTACCTTTGAGCGAGATACTTCACCCAAATTGCTCCAGTAAAAAATAAGTTGGTTTGGTTAAAAGCATCAGCTGTACAAATAAATAATCTAAAAGTAAGAGGGAACAAGTCTCCTTATCAGCATATCTTTCTGATGGTTTAATGTGGATTTACATTGAAATTCAATATTCTGTTCCATGGTTTAATGGAAAAATCCTAAGGTTGAGTGTAAATCAGGCCCATTAGTGATATTAAGGCTAAAGTGCTGCTGTACAGAGTGTTCCAAGCGTGCACTGGAGGTAAATGCTGTCTGCTACACTGCTCTTCAGCAGCTTTTGCTTTGCGCTTACTGCAGCCCACAGCGCAGTATTCCCTCAGTCACTGTCCTTAATTCCTAATCGCCTGTCTCATCAGGTAAAGAAATAAGTGCACCAATGAAAGCGAATGTAGCAGATTGTGTCTGATGCCTAAATTAGATGCCACAGAAATATCCCTCAACCATTTCCTTAATCCTTTTACCCCCCACCCCCCCCCATGCCCTGTAGCTGTAATACCTTTGGTGGTGAAATGCAAATCTGAGGCTAGTCTGGTGTGTGGGGGGAGTTTAAGCAGCTTTGCTCGTTGTTTCTGCAATATTTTACCATAGTCTGGAAACACGTAGGCACAACTCGCTTGCTGCCGTGGGACAGCGCAGCCCTGAGCAGACCCTTCTGCACCTGGACGCAGGCCCTGGAAATAGCTGGGTTTGAGCTGTGGTCTGAGCTGTCTCCAACCTTGTGCCCATTAAATGCATTTTTCGCACTGACTGTCAGACTGAGCGAACCTAGTGACCTTGTCTCCTGCCTGCCTGATCCTGTATATCTCCTGGTTGCGTCCAATCGCCCGGTACCTCTCCCTCTCACCCGTACCAGCCTGTGCCCACCAGAGAGAGGCGCCTTCTCCCGAGTTTTAGGAGCATGAGTTTAATAATAATAATAATAATAACAATAATAATAATAATTGCTTACACTTATAAAGCGCTTTTCTGGACACTCCACTCAAAGCGCTTTACATTTTAATGGGGACACCCCTCCACCACCACCAATGTGCAGCATCCACCTGCTGCACGGGTGGTTTAGAGCCTCCTGGCAGCAATCTCCCTCTGCTCTTTCTCCCACTGCTCTTTCTAGAGGCCAGACTTGTCCATTAGTGGAGAGGCCTTTAGATTAAAGAGAGCAAATTCCGTTATTAATGGAGAATTAATTAATGCCAATAACACCTACTGTATCTGCTGTAACCGCTTGTTTATTCATAAAAATCCGATTGTTCCCTTATTCCTAAAGGCCCTTTTAATGCACAACATAGTGTTGACATGGCTCAAGAACTGGCTGGATAAGAACCTTGGGTGAATTAGTTACCAGCTGTTCAACAGGCTAGCCTCATGGCCCCCTCTCATTTCTAACATGTCTTATGTTCTCATGCAAGTTATTAACAGCTTCTCTGGTGCATTTGCAATATAATGTGCCATTTGCAAAACCCCAAACTAAAGGGTTACCCCAAACTGGTAGGCTTTCCTTCAGCCACCATCCTGGCTCAGAATGGGACATGTTGCTTGTCCTGGACTCTGATTTTCAGAGTAACGTTAGCTGTTTCTACACTCTTCTTTCCCCTGGCCCTGCCAGGGCAATGCTCAGCCAGTCCCACCTTGCCTCACTTGACCGAGCTTAACTCAGGGTAGTCTGTTCACGATGAGTCCACAGGAGGCAAAAGCAAGAAATGCATGGCAAACCTGTTAAAGATGCTATTTTGTTTTGCAATTTGCGCATTGCATTTAATACAGTGCAATTTGGGGATGTCTTGAAACAAATATCCTTGAAACCTGATAGTGCACATTTGTTTGGAGACCTCCTCCAGTTAGTTTGCAAAGCAGTGAGGTAGTCAACGAGCTTGTTTCAAACCTGTTGCTTACTTTACCCTTAGTAATGCTTTTTAGGTTATACTGTAGTTCATTCTGTGCAATTAGCTGATTGTGCCAGACTGGTGCAGCACATGGAAACTGATACAGGTATATCACAGGTATTATATGTCACCTTAATGAACCATAAAACATATCACATATTACACAGCTACATAAAAGCTGTTGGGGGTTGTTAGAACTAAAAAAAACAAGAGTGACCTAAACATGCAGGACTTTCAAGTTCGTAGTATTGTACTACATTGAAAAAAAGCCACTCATATTGTAGCGTCCATTTCTAATTAATCGCTAAGTTGCTTGGAACTGAATAATTTACTGTAAAACGACTCCGTCCTTCTCTCTGGTTCTTTTTTCTCGCTTGTTGCCAGCTGCAGGCATGTGTCTCTTTGGGCTTTGAGGTCTGTCTCCATTTCACTCTCCAGGTGGACAGGCCAGGCCAGGCCTGGGTGCTCTCAGACAGAAAGAAGGGGCTGGTGACAGATGTAGATACACTGTAATAGTTTTGTCTGTAGGCACATCCTCTGGTTACCTTCCCCCGAGATAACGAAGTGAGAAATTACAGGGTCCTTAATCAGGCATTCTCCCCACCTCCGCGTTTCCTCTCTGGAGCTTGAATTGTTTACTAATCCCATTAATTAGGGAATACGTCCAAGGCAAAGCTTAAGAATTTCTGTTTAATGAAGCCAGAGTTCCTCAGCTCACCCTCAGTAATTAAGAAACATTCCCCAGACCTGCCTGAAGTCATTTGTTGCGCCGGCTTTAATCTCCCTGAGTCACTTGGTGAAAATGACCTAAACCCATTAGCATGATTACTTACGTTCGGAATTTCTATTAATTGCTTTCAGTGACTGGCCGGTGAAATCACAGGGATCATGCCCACTGCTTTTATTTAGCTGCAAATGTGTTTGTGTTTTTTTTAAATATGATTATCTCCTTTTTTTCTTTATCGTGCAGATTTTTCCTGATAACCTGGCTTAATTATGTTTTTAGGAGGCTGTAATGAATGCTCCCGAAATCAAGTAGTTGCAGCCTGTGAATTGGGCTAACATCCTTGCCCTAGTGTGTAGAATCATGTGAATTCTGTGAGTTTGTAAATTCTACCCAAACTGAACAGTAATTACAAGGAGAATAGTCCCGCAGTGCCTTAAAATCTTCCTCTTTCTGGGATGCTTTCTGAGATGCATCTTTGTCACCAGTATATTCACTGTATATTTTAAAAAGGGGAATGGAGTGTTGTTCACCTCAAGGACAGTGTTTTTCTGACCACATGGACAAAGGGTATAAAGAAATAAGTGATGTAGTGAATGTTGTCAACAGTGATGTACTGTACAAGCATGCACACCTACACTAACAGATACAAGGAGACAAAAAACGATATTAAATATCTAAATATCTCCACTTGTCCATGGGTCTGTTGTCCCATTCAGACATTATTGATTAAATAAGCAGGTCATTGATTAATCACTGTGCAAAAGTGACAAGGCAAAGCAGTGTGCTCCACCTGGGCACGCCCGGCCAGATTGTTCATCTTTGGCGGTGGCTCTGTGGCTAGGGATCTGCGCCTGTGGCTGGAAGGTTGCCGGTTTGTATCCTGCGGCCGGCAGAGGAATCCTACTCCATTGGGCCCCTGAGCAAGGCCCTTAACCCCAGCTGCTCCAGGGGCGCTGTACAATGGCTGACCCTGTGCTCTGACCCCCAGCTTCTCTCCCTGTCTGTGTGTCTCATGGAGAGCAAGCTGGGGTATGAGACAAATTCCTAATACAAGAAATTATACACGGCCAATCAAATGATATTATCTTACTGTGGCCTGGGATGCGTTGGCTCCATCTATGAGCCGGCTTTGAGCATGCGTTACGTGTTGGGCCCCACCTTTGTGTGGTTGTCTGGTTGGGCTCCAGCCCTCTTGCAGACCTCCCTTTTACGGTTGATCACAATTGGTAGGTAAAGGGCAGTACAGATGCGCCTCTCTTATCTACTGGTGTGCGCTGTAGGGAATAGTGTCTCTTGTAAAGGCTGTGTCTTCTGTTGTAAATTTCACCAACAACTGTAACAGGGAGATAAACATGTCCTGCCTTTGTTTTGCATGTTTACTACCAGAGCATCTTGTTCACAGCACAGTCTCCTGGAGCATGACTTAGAGCACTGTACCCAGAGAGCAGCCCGGCATTACCTACTGTATATGCAATGCAAGGTAATTGGATTGCAAGAGGGTGTAGTATGCCTCTGCGCAGACAGTTCCAGTTGAAGGGGGCTTAATCTCCATCAACTGTTCATGTTAAATGTTCATGTTAAAGCGGTGACTCGAAATGTATAAGCATCTGACCTGCAGATGCAGAAAAGACAGCTGCAGGAGCAAAGCAAAATGAAATGCATGAAAATGATTATTTTTTTCCAGGATTAAAAATGACCTAGATAAGTTCCAGACCACGTTCTCTGTTCTCACCCAGTTTCTCATCACAGCTGTTGTTCTGTATAAAGTAGTAGCACCTGGATTTCCAGTCCTTTACTATCAGACTATTCAACCACCATCAAACCAAACCAAAATATTATTAAACAGAGGGAAATATTGATCAAATCAATTAAAAACAGGTGGGAGGTCAATGGGCTTTCAACACCCTGTCACCTTTATTGCTTTGGTGTAGCAGTCATACATACTAATACCTTACATACTGTACACCATACATACTCATACTCGTATATCAGACATGCTCATACTCTATGTATGTGACATGAGTTGGCCCCTGACCACGTGTCTCAATGCTGAAATGTCAGTCCAAGCCCTGAAAGCCTGTCTCAGGTTTTAGTTAAGACGACAGTGTGGTTTAGACACCAAGGAAGTTAAAATCATTGTTTTACTTATGTCTAATAGGTACAATAGAGCTTCTGAAAATACAGTGGTACTGTGTCCTCATTCATAGACACACATTCTGAACACTAGGTTATGAACAGTATGGAAAGCTAGATAAGGGTGGGTGAAGATAAATGAGTACACCAAAGGTCATCCTTGACCATCCATAATGACATCTGCAGGAAGTCAAAAATGGGCTTTGGAAGGATTCAAGCTGAAAAATCACTCTTGCTCTCGGTCAAAAAAGACATCAAGAGACATAATTCAGTGCTGGAAAGACCCTGTATTAAAGAAACCTCCTGGAGGAGGAGCTTATCACCTCATATCCTGGCTCATTCATTATCCCAGACACAAGTGTTTGAGAGTGCAGGCCTTGTAATGACACTCTTAACATTCAGGAAAACCTAAGATGACTTTAACCCTTACCAGTTTTTAGAAACGTAGCCAATTTCCAGCAGCAAGGAGCTGCCAGACTTGCACAACATGCATGGTGCAACCATCTGGGTCTTTCTGTTAACATGCAAATGTGCAAATCTTCTGTTTCATTCCACGGATTGAAGAAGCGTATACTGGGCAAATGCACAGAGCAAACCAGAGAATGGAATCTGTGAATCTACAGTAACGTAAGCACGCACACAGTTTGCAAAGCTGCGCGGACAGAGCCTGCGCCTCTGAGCCTCGATTACCTTGCCGGATGGAGACGAATCTGCCGTTGGCGGCCTGCAAGACCACCTGGGGGTGGCTCTCCTCCAGGTCGAAGAGCTCGTCCTTGCCGGGCTTGGAGCTGCGGCCCGACCGCAGCGTTCCCGTGGGGCCCATGGGCGTCAGATACTTGCCCTCACAGTCCTTGAACGCCAGTTTCCCAGACTTGAACTCCAGGGTGTAGCTGGTGGAGCGGCCGGGCTCCTTCACCAGCTTGCCATCGCTGTTGAGGAAGCGACTGTCGCAGGTCTTGAGGCAGTACTTGCCGTCCAGGTAGAGGAGGGTGAGCAGGGAGTCCACCCCCCAGGGGATGTTGCTGTCGGCGGAGATCTCGTCCTCCTGGGTGGAGAGGTGGGCGTACCGCTTCCGGCTCACGCTCAGCAGGTTGGCCTGCGGGTGCAGGGCCAGGTGGACGGCCCACAGCTCGGGCTCGCCAATGGCCTGGGCGAAGCAAGAGAGGCGGTCCTCCGAACCCCCGAAGTAGCGGGCGTGGGGCTCGGACTGCAGGGCCCAGCGCCCGTCGGACTGGGCGGCGATGAGAAACCGGCAGTCGGGCTCCGGCTTCTCCGCCCCACAGCTCACCTTCCCGTCTATGTCGGCGGCCAGGTAGCGGCCCAGGTGGCTCCGGAGGTACACCACGGAGCCGTCGTTCTCATCCTGCTCCAAGGTCCAGATCTGCTTCTTCTTCATGCTGGGCGCCGAAGCGTTCACCTTGAAGCCGAAGGCCTCGGCCGTGAGGTAGCGGCTCTCGTGATTGATCAGCCCGAACTGCAGCTTCAGGGCTTGGTGGATCCCGTTGGTCGGCATCGCCACCTGCTCGAGGCAACGAGTTTCGGGACCGAGTTTGGTGGGGAAAGGGAGGTTAGGATGAGGGGAAGGGAGAAATGGGGGAAGAGTCAACAAGTGTCAGCAAAATGGATTGAAAGCTGGGTTTTCTTCTTTCCTTCTTTTAGCTGTGCCTTCGAACGAGGTGAAAGGAGCCCTGTGGATTCTTTGCTAATCTTCTTATCTTATCTGCTTCTGCTCCTTTCCACTTCTCGTCCAAGTTTCTGGCTTCCAATGTTTACAGTGTTTCCTCTTTTTTCCCTTTTGACGTTTTCCTGTTGCTTGTTTCCTCTTTTGTTTTTTTGTATCAGCCCTTCTTCTTTTTTTCGACCTCCCTTCTTCCCTTCGCTGCTCCTTCCCCTTCAAAACTCTGTTCCTCTCTCTCTCCCGGTGGCACGCGCCGCGTACAGGCTGCTGCTCCCCCTCCCCCCGTTTTGTTTCCTAATCAGCTCGGATTAAAGTCAGCAGGACTCAACACCTCAATCAGGCAAGCCGCTGACGTCACCTTGATCCCCGGCAGCTCTCTCCTGACCTCCCTCTTTCCCCGGCACTCTCTCTGTGTCAAGGTCTGCTGTCCCTTGCGAGCCTCGGCCCAGCTCTCCCTGCAGCTCCAGATACCCTGGGGACGACTGAGCTGCTGATCATCTACCGAGAGTCTGCCGACAATGGGGGAGACCCCGCCAGGAGGAGCATCACTGGTTTCCTTCTGCTTTCTCTCGGCTCTCTTCTTCACCGTCCCTTACACGTTTCATCTCCCTGAAGGCCGGCCGTGGCTTGATTGGCGGGCCCCCTTAATTGAGGCACATCTTGGATTACGAGCTTTCCCAGATTTCAATAAGCCAGCCTGAGTGCCACGTTATGTAGGGAATCAGTAGCACAGGGTAACAGAGAGATTTGCACTCCTGTTTCGCACAAAGACCTCTTTCTCCAAGCTCATTTCCTCCACTCAGCCTCTGCACAACTTGGTTCCGATTTCCCTTTCGCCCAACTTGACTTCCGTAGACGTCCCCCAGAGGCTCTTTTGTCCTCTGTTCATCTTTCCTATTCCCCTTCTCCCCACTGCGGCCACTCTGCCAAGGCAGGTTGGCTACAAAGCCAGGTAATGCGATTCCTCCCCAGCGTCAGTGGTCCTCGTCCAACCAAGGGTGTCTGCTTTCCTTTGCACTACCGTATAAAGTTACCGCAGGTCTCTGATTCCAAAACTAAAACACATCCATCCACACTACACATGCTCGCTCACACACACACACACACACACACACACACAAACGCTTTGGAAAACAGCCCTCTCCATTCCACCCATCCCTAATCTTCTTTACAACTATCCTGCCACTTCATTAGCCTCTTCTAATCCTCTCAGCCCTCTTTCATGTCACTAACGAACTTTCTTCCATCTGTTCTGTGCCTGGAGAGGGAGCAGACCCGGAGTGGAGAGAGAGGAAGTACAGTCCAAGATGAGAGTTCTTCCGGGGAAAGACAAGACACAAGAGTCTCAAGGCCCTGGTCCTTTCCCAGAATCCCTCGGGGTTGACTGTGTTTAACCCTGGGGGCAACAGCTGGAACCAATCCCACTACCAGTACCTTGGAACCCCTGTTGCCTGTTTTTCACAAAGTGGGTTAAATTGTGCAGCCAAATTGTCGCTCAAGCTTGTTTCATTTCACCCCCCAGGTATGTTTTGAGGTGAAAAGAGATTCTGAGATGTTTCGAGATTCTTTGTTTTTGGGATAGAGGAATGTCCTTCATCAATAAACCAATTGAAGCTTTTAAGGCTCCTTTTGGTATTTTATGCCTTAAAACACCATATTCAGAAAACACTCACCTCCATAATTTCAGATCTGTTTTTTCCTATTATAGGAGCAACAGTATGAAATTGTACAAGTGGCCCTTCTGTTTTTCATGGTGCTAAGTATGCGAACATCACTATGGTCCCTTTGTTTTTTTCTCTGTTTTGCTCTTTTCTTTGTATTAAATCAAGGCATTATGACAGAAAACACATTTTATGAATATGTCCCCTCAACACAGAAAAAAAGAAATCTGGTGAAAGAAAAAGCAACACATAGTTCCTGTAAATTCCCAAAGAGACCAGATGGGCCCCATGGTCTCCTCGTGCTTATAACCATTCTTGTGTTTAGCTATTTCTAATCCACTTCCGGGAGATGTTCGTGTTTGTTGGCTGTTGTAATGGGACAGGGTTAATGGGACGAGTTAATTAAACCGAGTGGTGGCTCACAGTTGTGATTAAAAATCCCATGGTGTTTCTC